GTGTTACTCCTCAGGTAGTACCCACCTTGTTTTGGGGAGATCAGAGTGTCACAACAAACCTGCAGCTTGCTGATTCAGAGCCCCAGGGACATGCCTGGCTTCCCCTCTCCAACACTGGGATGACAAGGCACTTGAGTCACCAGGTCTAGCTTGTTTGAAATAGTCCAGAGGGAATGCACTCTGGTCCTCATGCTTGCACACAAAGCACGGTACCAAATGACCCATCTCCTTGACTCTACTGAATACAATTTTTGACTAATTTCTCAAAACCATTAAAGCAGCCTATCAGATGACAGAGCCACTTGGTATGCCCTCTTAGCTTTACATTTAAGGCATCTAAGAATGTTGTTAAACCTAAGTGCTAACGTCATCTGACAGACTGACAAACCACACCAACTGTCTGAATAGTATGTAAACACAGCTCTTGGTGATGTTTGCATACAGATGGGGGTTCTTTTCCTTTATATATTCAGTTAACTCCTACATCCACGATAGGTAGATTATTATTAGTCAGACACAAGAAATGATTTTGCATCGCTCAAACTGCTTGCTTCCTGACATTCATGAGCCCTTAGTGACTATTACCATGAAGGATCCACTGTGAAATAGGTGGTCCGTATTTTCCAGAAGCATCTTTTTTATCTTTTAAATTGGTAACTACCACCATCGAGGAATACAAGAGACATTCATTATCCCTGCCTTAGTCATTATCCGTGAGTGTAATATGCTGGCAGCTCAGTTACACTGTATTATTCTTTTAAAGTAGGCTTTTCAATAGAGCAACACTGCAAAACAAGAGGCTCCGTCTTGATGCCACTCCAACACTGCCTTCATGTCCTATCTAACTGCCTGAAGTGGATTTCAGCATTTGTGCTACTGTCATTATAGCCTCAAAAACCAATAGGGATAGAAACACAAATTTTGATTTTTTTTTTTAAATGTACATTTTGCCAAGAACTGAAACACTGGTGGCGTGACTTTCCTGAGTTAAAATGCAATTGAAGATTCTGTGTGTTCTGGGCGAAGGCTCTGACTCTATAGCCATGAGAGTACAAGCTCTTAGAGGCACCACTTGCTCTGCTGTGTTATAAGCTCTCCCTGAGGCAAGACTCCTGTCTTCCTAGTATTCCTGCCTGTTCTCACCTCTCTCTCCTGCATTCATTTCTGACGTTTCTTCAGCCTGACAAGTGTAATCACCCTTCAAGTCTACTCTTAATATTTATTATACAACAAACGTCTGCCCAACACTTTTCAAGTGTGAAGACCTTGTCGTCAGGTGTGCATACATCGAAAGAATATAAGTATCTAATGGGTCAAAGACCGGGCTAAGAATCCCGATTAAATCAATGAATACAATTTCACACTCCACTAGTATTTTAAAACTTTTCATAAAAAAAGACACAAAACGGCCCAACAAGGAGACATTTTAATGCAAGTTACATAAATTCTGTAAGATAGAGATGAAATATATTCATCTCAGAAACAAAAATTTCCATTTTCAAAGTTAGCAGGAATTTTGTTAATGTTATTTCTAATGTATATTGATAATTTAGTATACTTCTGGGAACCTAAGTTTGGAAGAACAAATTTATAAAATAACAATGTCGCAGTAAAACATATAACTTTATACAGTAAAGAAAGGGCATTCATTTTTCACCTACCAAATATTGTCTAAATTTTCAAACATTAAAAATATATGCCACAAGAAAGGAAAAAAAAAAAACAAATAATGATTGGGTTTAAAAAAAAGAAAAAAAAGAGCAGCAAAAAGGGGGGGGGCAAAATCTGAAGTACTCAGTCATTTCTCTTACTGTTTTATGGAGCTGTGGATTAAATGTAGAGATAACAACATATCTGTACCCTTAGCCTAAAGCTAGAATTTGGAAATGCAAACAAAATAAAAGCCTTTTGGGAAATACTAATGAGAAGAGAAAAAACATCCACACAGCAAAAATGTCAACTAGAATAGCATACAGATATAAAGAATGTCAAAAATACATACTTTAAATTTTTTACAAGTTACACTGCTTACACAAGATACCATGAGCCCAGTCCTTTCAACTGTGTATGAAGCAAATCACATTGCCAAAAATGAAGGTAAGATTACTGAAACATAAAACAAATGGGACCATGCAAAAAGGCAGTGTGCCAGTGAGCTCAAGTTGCAAACGAGTAATCCAGGCAACAAAAAGACAGAACTGCTGTGAGCACCAGTCTCGAGACAGAAAACCGAGTAAATGTAGTATACTGGGCTCTAATATAACATCTTGAAGTGAAAAGTCAAGAAAGAGATGACTGAATCATGGATTGCAACATACAATTATGACAGTTAAGAAAACTAAAATTCAATGTAGAAAGGAATACAACTTTTAAAAATAAAAATTGTTTAAAAAGGTAACTGATCGGACTGCTCCTTTAGAATAACACAACAGTGTGAACGTTAAAGAGGCAAGGCTGAGAATATTCTAGAATTGTTGATAAAAGCATATCCTTAACTATTTACAACATAATAAAACGACAGAATGAAAAAAAGTGTTCTATGAACAGCCAGTGAGAGTAGGAGCCCATGAATGAGTTCTAGCAGTCTACTGTATAGCACAATCACCAGGACACGTTGATTTACTCACTCTTAAAAACTGCAGAGTGTAGCTTTCATAGTCTCAGTGCAGAAAAGTACGTGAAGAACTACATTATTAGGCTTAATTGAATCATTTCATAGCATATTCATACATCAAAACATATATACCTTAGTACTGTACACTACTTTTCTATTTTACTTTGTTAAAGCTGGAAAACAGAAACATATACCACAGAAAGAGTGTGAAATGCATAGCTGACTTCTCACAGGAAACAGTAAGAGTCAGAAACGTACCAGGAACTACCTTGAGGATGAAACAAAAATATCTTCATGCTATAAAGTCTTTTGTACTCTGTGGTGGTTTGAATGAGAATGGGCCCCATTGGCTCATATACTTGAATGTCCGGTCTCTAGTTGGTGGCACTGTTTTGAAAGGATTAGGTGTGGCCTTTTGGAGCTGTGACACTGTGGGTAGGGTGTGAGGTTTCCAAAGCCCAGGTCAGCAGCCCCAGTCTCTCCTCTCTCTGCCTGCTGCGTATGGGCGACATGTATGCTCTCACTGTTGCTCCAGCGCCGCCATGCCTGTGTTCCAGTCGTTCTCACTACCATAACTCATCCTCTGAAACCTCATCAAGCCCTACGTGAATGCTTTTTTGTTTTTTAAGTTGCTTTGGTCATGGCGGCTCTTCACACCAACAGAAAAGTAACAAAGACCAATTTCTAAAGGAATTTATGAAACATTTCCTTATGATGAAGTTACTCTTTAGGAAAGCAATGTAAAATCAAGATAGAGAAAATTCAAACTCCATATGCAGACATGAATATATCACTGAATGACTACGATTTTCATATGTGAGAATATAGAGGCTAGAAGTAGCATGATGATCAACTGTGCTAGTTAAAGGTGGGGTACTATAGCAATGTAAAACCCTACAGGGTTCATTCGATATCCTTTACATATAACCTGAGGCTAACGACAGCTGAACATACAGAGAAGAGCTTCTAAGCAAGGAAAAGGATGAAGGGAATACCAACTAAACAACACATTAAAGCGAAGGCACTAACAACAAAAAACAGAAGTTACAGTAAAATGGCACAAACATCAAATCCTTTCCTTTACAGAACTGAAAGCTATGAACTCTTAAAGATTATTTAAAGTATTACTGAACACAATCTGTAAACAGTGGCCCTAAACATGTGTACAACTGACGACATACAGATTAAGTAAGACTAAAACTCAAGACTGAGATCAGGGTAAAGGTAAGCAAGGGAGCTGGCGAGGTTACATTAATACTAAAAATGCTGGATTTCTACTCAAAGGCATTTGGGTGGAGATCAAGTGGCCAAATACTGGTATAGGACTAAAGCAGACTGCCATGCATCTAAACACGAGTGTTGAAAACACCCACCAGCTCAACAAAACTACAACTATGACAACAATTAAGTACATTAAGGGCCACAGCTAACACACTTCTCTTAGACCTCAACAAAACAAATACATTAAAGACGTTAAGTGGAAAAAAAGGAACAAACACAATTCAGTGGAAAACAAACATTATACAATTCTAAAATGAACAATTCCAAACCCGTAAGAAATGTTGAACAAAGACCACATTGAGACTACAATTATTTTCCCTGTCTAATCAAAGATAGCAATTATACAAATGGCATTCTCTAAAAAATACATGGCTCTGGCAGGCCTTGTCCTTCTCTCCCATTCCCTCTGCCTTGCTAAAAATCACTAAACTAATATTTAAAAACATTAAAGCTAGCCACCAAGGTCTGTTCCCTTATTTGGCCACTTCCTCCTCCTGAGGCTGACTACCAAGGTCCAGCCATCACAGTAGTGAAGTCTAACAGTCAAAAGCTCCCTTTGGCTCACTTAACTAAGATGCCCAATCAGAATATACAAACCCCCCCAGTCCCACATCCTAGCCCATTCTAACCCAACTCCCCTCCTTTTCTCTTCTTAAAAACTATACCTGTCAGGTCATTTGCTGCTGTTTGTCTGCCTGTGTCAGAAGGCAGACACTAACTTTTCATCCCTGCTTAACAAGGAATCTGTGTGACAACACGTGTTTGGGTATGATTTGTGCCTAATCTGGGGGTCCGAAAATCTTAACCATCCTGTTCTTTCAACCTTTTCACTTCCTCAGATCTAGAATTCAGATGGAGAAGATTTCCATCTTTGCAGTTCAAGGAAACCAAATTCTGAGGTGGCTTCTATCTGTTGGAAGATCTTTGTACGTACAGCTATCACCTGGAAAGCTATCAATGGAGAGTGTCAACAGTGAGTAAGATCAAGTTCCCAGCTCCTCTTTCAATCTGCCAAGTCTGATTCACTCTGAAGGACATGGCGATGCCTCTCCAAGGTTTCCCTGTTCTTCACTGCTCCAGGGGTTAGTAAACTGACAGGGCTTACCTTTAGGGAGACTTGGGTGGAAGGGCTTTGAGATCTCGCCCTTTAACATCTCGCCCTTTGCCATCTTTGTCCTCAGCCTTGGCCTCGGAGATGACCAGCTTATTCTGCAGGGAACACAGCAGCTGGAGGTAGCTCTGGTTCCTAAAGGGACAAAGTTCGTGGGAAGTGACGGGAATCTTGGGTATGCTGCCTGAGGCTCCAACCCAGGATCCCAACCTCACCTCTGCAGCTTCTCCTGTTCCTGCCCTGCTTGCTGCTTCAGGTTTTCAAGTTCCTGATGTGATCCGTCAAGCTTCTCCAAAGCCCTCTTCCGGCGTCTCTTTACCTCTGCAGAAATCTTTGTCAGATTCTGCAAACGCTTCTGAAGGGGTGAGAGTGCAGGGATATGACTCACCTAATGTTCTTATCTTGGTGCGTGCCGTATCTCCCATCTCCCCTGCTAAGCCAGAGCTTGAGGCTCAGACTCCCTGACAGACTGAGGTACTTTATCACTTCAAGACAGAGAAGAGCCTAGAGAAAAGTCAGAGCCCACCTGTTGCAGCACCCACTGCTTCTGAGCTAGTTGAAGTTTCTCCTCAAGGACTCGCTTCTGCAGGGAGAAAAATGACATTCCTTCTTAGGTTTGATCTTTGGAGAGAGCATCGAGGTCCAGCCCAGCTTACCCTTTCCTCCCTCCTGTCCGTCATTCCCTCAAGTTCTCTAGCTATACCTTAGCCTCCAGTTGCTCAAAAGCCTTCTGAAGCTCTGTGTACTTCCTGTGAGCCTCTTTCACCTGGGGTAAGGCCTCAGACAGGGCACATTTTATGACATCCACGTGATCCATGTATGTAGCCTTCATGTCCTTCCACTCCTCCTTAGTTTCATTTGCCTTCTGTCCTAAGGTGGGCCACAAAGAACAAGAACATGAGTGAGGCTAGCCTATAGCTTCTACAGCTCTCGGCCACAGCCTTCCCATTAGCTACACGCAGACATAACTCACCAATTTTCCCCTTCAACCATTCAGACCGGACCCCACCACAAATCTAGGCCTACTCACGACTTTTATCTTCAGAAGCCAAAGCATCTGGGTTTTGGTCACTATTATCCTCCTGAGCCAGAAAGGTCTGTAAGAAGTTCACAACTTGGAGCTGGCTACAGAGCAGCTTGTCCTTCTTCCGCGAGTTCTGTTTACAGTGGGGACAGGAGCAGGGACTAGCCTTACCTTCTAGAGGCCAAGGTGGTCTTCCATTTTGTTCTTCTCCTTTGCTGCCCACTACTTCAACAGGCTATCCCAGGACCAGCCCCCACTCTTCTGAAACACTGGGTCCCACTGTGTACATACCCTCATAAACTCCTCCATGATCCTGGCAGGCAGCTCTGCTTCCTCCTGCAAGCCTACAGGTTCTAGAACGTTTGCTGCCTCCTCCAGAACCCTGTAAGGCATGAGTAAGAGTGTGCTACAATACCACACTAGGTCTACAGGACATATCCACTGGGATCTATGTTGGGGAGTGGGCCAATGCTCTGAGTCTACCCAAGGGTCTGAAGGAACTTCAGGCTGAGATCAGAATCACCACGTACCTGAAGAACATACAGTAGTATCTAAGGGCCATGAGGAAATCATTTGAAATATTAGGGGATAAGGACTGTACAGACTAAATGTTTTAAATAGGAAGTGTCACAATGGATAAAAACTGGAAGAAATTTGAAAGTAACAGGGGCATAGGTACAGAAACAGAGAAAAAGCCAAAGATCAGGCAAGCCTTGGAAGACATGCTAGTAATGGCTGATCTCAGAATGCATGATGTGTATGTAACCCAGGCTTTCCAGATTGACTGGAACAATCCACTAGAGGACACAGATAAGGAAAAAAAGAAAAAGAAAAAGAAAAAGGTTGTGACAGAATGTCCTAGAATGGTAAAGGACTGCTTAGGAAATCTGTAATGGAACTGACTCTTTTAGAATACTACGCCACAGGGCTGGGGGGTGGGGTGGGTGGGTGAGGTAATGTCTCTCAAAGGCAGCATCCGACATAAGGTGACCTACGGCGGCCATCCAGAGGTATCACTCCGCATACAGAAATAAAGTCCCTGCTTAGTCATACCCCTGGAGCAGAATGCCACAAAGCCCCCTAACAGGCATCAATCACTCCAAAATGAGACGTTGTCACACTGGCCGATTCTGCACTGAATCGAGGCGACACCATCCCTCAAAGGCCACACTCACGGAGTAGGATGACACAATCCTTTCGGGCTGCATTCCTCATTGAAACTGCTCTTCGGGGCCTACACTCCCGAATCCCACCCCCACCCCCGAGGCCGCGCTCTTTAGCTAGAGGGACAAGGTTCGTCAGAAGTCGCACTCCCTGAACTCAGGGCGACACTGTCCCTCCGCCGCCACGGCCCGAGCCGCCGTCCCAGGCTCTCGCCTTCCACACTCACTCTTTGGTCTCAACAGCGTTTTTCTCCGCAACAGCGTTTTTCTCCGCGTCCGCCATCGTTCTGCCGCCCACCACGCCTTTGGATTCTCCAAGACTGCCCGCCTAGGTGGAGATTGGGTTCTGGGTAAGTGGGCGGGACTCTAAGGGGGACACCCGCCCTCCTCATTGGCCGGTGGAGATTCCGGTCCCGCCCCTCGACGCACGCGTAAATGTTTTTTGTGGTCTGTGGGCCGGCTGGAGGTGCTGAGCCTGCGCAGTAGGAAGTATTGCTAGCTGAAGGCCAGACCGTGAGAAAGCAAAATTTGGACGCTGTAGACACCGGAAACGGCTATTATCTGTTCCAGTAGTCACGCTTTTTTTTTTTTTTTTTTTAAATGTACTGCTGCCGAAGAAAGGAGATGGGGGCCTCTCCTCCACGACGCTGGAGAATACTGATCTTATAAGTAAATAATACGAGTTCAAATCAATGTGCTTTTAAAGACCTTATCAGTCACCCCAGCTGGGTCTCCTGTGTGGACAAGTCACAGCTGAAACTGAGGGTGGGGGTTGATCGACAGAGTAAAGGAGGGACAGAGACAAGGCTGCTCCTAGTGATCCCAGGGCTAGCCGCTTGCTTGCTTGTTTTCTTTCTTGCTTTCTTTCTTTCTTTCTTTCTTTCTTTCTTTCTCTCTCTCTCTCTTTCTTTCTTTCTTTCTTTTTTAAAAATTGTATATTTTATTTACATTTCAGATGTAATCCATTTCCCCATTTCCCCCCCACACCCAGGAACCCCCAGCCCATACCCCCTACTCCTTCTATGAGGATAGATATATCCCCATCCACCCTCCCACTCCCACCTCCCCACCCACGATTTCCCCCACGCTGAAGCGTCCATCCTTCCCTGGACCAAGGACTTCCTCACTCACCTATGCCTGACAAGGTCATCCTCCCCTATGTATACAGCTGGGGCCATGGGTCCCTCCCTAAGTGCTCCCAGGCTGGTGGTTTAGACCCTGGGAGCTCTGGTTGGTTATTGTTGCTCTCCCCATGGGGCCACAAACCCTTTCAGCTCCTTCAGTCTTCTCTCTCCCTCCTCCATTAGGAACCCCATGATCAGCTCAGTGGTTAGCTGTGAGCATCCACCTCTGTATATTTCAGGCTCTGGTAGACCTCCAAGGAGACAGCTATATCAGGCTCCTGTCAGCATGAACTTCCTGACATCCACATCAGCGTCTACCTTTGGTGACTGCACAAGGGATGGATACCCAGGTGGAGCAGTCTCTGGACAGCCCCTCCAGTTTCTGTCCCATGATTTGTCTCCATATTTGCTCCCATGAGTATTTTGTTACCCCTTCTAAGAAGGGTCAAAGCACCCACACTTTGGTCTTCCTTGTTCATGAGCTTCATGTGGTCTGTGAGCTGTATCTTGGATATTGCAAGCTTTTGGACTAATATCCACTTATCAGTGAGTGCATACCACGTGTGTTCTTTTGTGACTGGGTTACCTCACTCAGGATGATATTTTCTAGTTCCATCCATTTACCTAAGAATTTCTCGAATTCATTCTTTTTAATAGCCGAGTAACATTCCATTGTGTCAACGTACCACATTTTCTGTATCCATTCCTCTGTTGAAGGACATGTGGGTTCTTTCCAGCATCTGGCTATTATAAATAAGGCGCCAGCAGCTTTCTAAAATACTCAGCTGAGTCCTGAACAATGTCTAAGGAAATTTCCTAAAGGAGTTTTTAAAGATTTTTTTTTTTTGGAGATTAAAGCAGAGTCGATATTAGTTACCATTTTCTCAAATTGGTATTGAAGTATGCATACTCTATGGTGACAGATAAATTAACCCTCCATTAAGCACTGCTGTGGCACCATCTAACAGATTAAAGCAATGAGGCTTAATAATCTCGTAAGTATGAGACTGACTAAACTGCCATAAGGATGATGAAGTTGCAAAAATCACCAAGCAATAGGTTGGTCTTAGAATTTCTGATCTTCTTAGTTATTACCAGGCATGACTAAAAGAAGATTCATGACTAGATAAATAAGTCACTGTGTAGAACAGAAACGGATGTGAAGACAGCAGACAAGCTGCTTTAAGGACAACTTTCTATATGTTTCAGAGACGGAGTTAACAGCAACCAAGATGTGCTACAGATAATGGGAATGAAGAACTCTCATGTTACTGCTGGGAATATAAACTCACATATGTGTGTTTGAAAACAATGTAGCATTTCCTCAAAATGTTACACATAAAATTAATTTCCCAAGTATAATTACAAAAGAAATCAAAATAACAAACACAAAAATGCACACAATACACGAAGTCTGTAAGAGCTAAAGGTAGAACCAACTCTCCATGACACAAGGAATGAAAAGAACTACTGTAGCCGGGCGGTGGTGGTGCACGCCTTTAATCCCAGCCCTTGGGAGGCAGAGACAGGCAGATTTCTGAGTTCGAGGCCAGCCTGGTCTACAGAGTGAGTTCCAGGAAAGCCAGAACTACACAGAGAATCCCTGTCTACAAAAAACAAAAAAACAAAAAAAAATACTGTAAATGTAATACAATTTAACAATAACAAAAAAAAATGGGGTATTAATGCATGGGAACCTAGCAATGATTCTTGAAAAAAATTAAGAAGCCAGGTTACCCCACCACCACCACCACAAATTGCAGATTTGGTTATTTTTTTATGTGAAATATCCAAATAAGGCAAATCTGTGAAGGCAGAGAGTGAATTAATAGTTGACCAATAGATAGAAGAGAGGACAGAAAGGAAGGTAAGCACAAATAATGGAAAGGAATAAAGATTTTCTTTTAAAGGGTTCAATAAAAATGTTCTAAAATTAGATTATGGTGAATGTTGAACAAGATATATAAAAAAGTCATTTTATGCTATAAACAAATGTCCAAAAAGCCATTATTTAGAGATGTGATACTAGACAAAGACCTGCCAACCTTATAGAGATGGACACACTACATTGTAGTATGTGAAATTACATGGCCTCAGTGTCAGATTAAACATGGAAATCAAATCAATAAGCTTTAAAGCATAGAAACCACACAAAATGAGTCACAGAACATCTTTTTAAACAAATGAAACAAGTGAACTGAGACACAAAGTGCTTATAGCTTGACACCCTTTTAAATAAACTTCCTGAATTCGAGACGTTGAGGTAAGAAAGAAAGCAAACAAACATTGCAAGGACTCAATAAAACCCTCCACGTGGAAATTTAATTATAAATCCAAAATTACCAAAACCCCTCAAATCATTTTTGTTGCTATTTTCATAACTGGATGTTGCAACTATTATGGATCGTAGTGTATATATTTGTGGTTTCAATTGATCTTAGGCAATCATTCGACCCCCAAAGGAGCTGCAGCCAGCAGATTGAGAACCACTGCCCTAACACAAGAACCATGAACCAAACGGTCACTGTATACCATAATTACTTAACTTAATCCAAGACCATTAATGAAAAGAAAATACCATAAGCAGCTGGCAAAAGAAGAAAGAATAGTACATGTAGAAAAACAAAATTAATGAATATAGAAAATAAGGAGAGAGAAGGACAGGAACCTCAAAGTACTTTTTGAAAAAGCAAATTAACCTTGGTTTCTATATGCGGCAAACAGCCTTCAAAACTGACAGGTAACTATTGGCATTTTTAGACTGGAAGTGGAAGTGATTTTAAAGACTTACACTCTATAAGAAAGATAAAATACATTAGGCATATGGAAAAGTGACACCTGACATGACTATGTACAGAAAATTAGAAAGTACCAGATATGGTAACTATATGGGGAAATATGTCTTTTCTTAATATTAACCATTTATAAAATATTAATGGATAGGTTCGGATAAGGAACAGATGTCATAATATGCACAGATTTCTAAAATATGCTGGGGTCATAAGACCCAAGTGCCCAGCACTTTAGATCTAATGTTCCCTATGTGTGTTCTATTGTCAAAGCCGGGTATTAACTAAGAGAGGAATCTCTCATGAAAGAGTGTGATTTTTTTCCCATCACAGAAGATTTTAATTAGCTTGCTTGCCACATGATCCATGTGAACGCAAAAGAACACACTCAGGAATAAAAGAAAAACATAATCCAGCCTGAGTTCGACCATCTAGTACATGGATGACCTTGAATAAATAACTTAATTGAGAATTTAATTTTGTCGTTTATTAAGGAGACTAAGGCTGAGAACATTTCTTTAGAATAATTATAAGAACATTTCTTATGGGAAACCAGAGAAGGTATTTAAGTATCTCTCACTTTTGTTTGACACGGAGTAGGAGTACCAGCGCTTTAATTCCTATGCCTGTCAGTTTCCCGTGGGAGTCACGTGTTCATGAAAGCAGAATTAGTTAAAACAACAGAAACTTCTTGGGAAGAATCCTTTTATGTAATAACTTAGGGAATGTTGCAAGGAGCAAAACATGAATTAGATTCATTTTTCAATAAGCTCCTCTCTTCCAGTTGCGGTAACATTTTCTGGTTGCAGGAATATTTCCTGTGAGTCACAACATTGCCCTTTCGAGGTTTGCTGCCACTTGTTTTTCATCCTCAGTTTGATCGATATGCTTAATGCTCTAATTGTAACTTTCACTGAAGTCACAATTAAATAAATAGCAGCCCAGATGCTTAACATTTATCTCAGAAACAATATCACCGATCTTCCATGAACCGCTACTCCAAAAGTCGGTGTTAGCATAACGTTAGCTACAACTGCTCTTTCTGGAATTTCCAGACCTAGGTATTCCGTTATGTTTTATTGAGGAACTCCTTGTGTAGCATCTAAATTGCAGCTCCTCGGGCGATTCTTGTCTTGGGTTGCTGGTTCCAGATGGATAGATTCTGCCTCACACACAGTTCCATTCCCTATTCAGTCTGTCATTCCTCTCGCTATGCTCAGCATCTGTGCAATTTGGACACGGACCACCTGACCTGAATTGCAAGCTCTTGTGAGAAAGGATGACTCACCGAAAGCAAATCCCTCCTTCAAACCCATCGAATCCTTCCTAATCAGTCTAGCCCTCCAGCTTTTTACTTCTTGTTTCCTGGCAGAGATGAGCCAAAACACCACTGGGAGAGCTTGAAAGTTAAAGGAATTGTTTTTAAGC